GTCTTTTTTCATATCAGATAGAATTCCCCATAAGCTTCTTCATAATCTTAATTCTTTAATTTTTCTCCGACTCCTACATCAGTCTTCATTCTCAACAGTTAAGATATTCTTGACTCAGAGGACATGTTAGTTTTCTTCTCTTGAACATTCATTCTTCCTACTTACAACTGTCTGAAATAAAGAAATATTTTCTTTTTCTGTTATACTTATTTCACTTCATATTGAAGTACTGTTGTAGGAATGAAGGGAGGCACATGCCTATATTTTTCTTTAATAGTTTGAGGTTATCCTGAGAGTTGAATTGCTTTTATACAAGATTATTAAAATACAAACAGAATTTTTACATTTTGGATGCTAAGAGCAAGTTTTCTGAAAATATCAGAATTCTTTAATACAGAAATAACAGTTATTGAAAATGTATAGATATCTTACAATTTTAAATTTCTGTTTAAAGTTCAAAGAAGAATGCTGTTCAGAAAGTCAATAAAGCAGTCAAGTTGTAAGATTTTGAAGCCCATATTTCTGATGTGAGAGCAGTAAATAAATTTTCCAAATACAGCCAAGTTTTAAAGCTGATCTTCAACAAAAAAACTATTCTAAAAAACAAATTACAACTGCATTTACTGGAATATGTAACACAATACATTAACATAAAGACTATGCCGAATTTAATTGAAATATATTTGTAATTTTTATTTTCTAGAATTTAAATATTTTGGCCTCATATGGAACATAAAAAGCAATTAATTTCAAGCTCTTTAGCTGTCACAGATTCAATCTTTAAATGTAGAGGAGGAAAGCACATAGCACGTGCTTTTGCACAAGACAATTTTGTCAAGAAACCAGAATTTTGTTGATTTTGTGAATGAATGTTAATGATTTTTTTGTTAATATGAAGACCTCAGACTTAAATAATAACCCACAAAATGAGGTTTTTCATTTTTAGGGTGTAAACAAGTATATTCAACTAGACATTTCTTCTGGTCCAAAATAGTTCATGTATATTCTAAAGGACAGAAGCACAGTATATATTTTATTTCCATAACAAACCACATGTCACTGCAGTAAATTATAACAATCTTCATTACCAAGATGGATGCTTAAAACTACAAATTGTGGGTTGTGATTACTTACTCCGGAGGTCTTTGCATATCAACGAACCCTTACTACCATTCAACCTAGTTTCTTTGAAACTGAATTCACTATCATTTATATTCTTATCTTCAAAATCAACTGTCAAGGCATAACTGTACAGACATTCCTCAAAATATTAAATTTTATATTTTAATAAAAATCAATAAAATATCATTAAGATTATTTCAATGCTTTTTAGCAACTCGATAAACAAAAGTTCATTGGAATATTGAATCAAAATGAATGTACCGACTGAAAATCAAGAAATCAAAATAACTACTTAATACAAACCAAGAACAAACAGATCTCTCCAAGTCAGCAACAACAGTTCAAAAATTGAAGATGATTACTCAAAGGCATTAAGTGCAAAAGATACAGGGGGATTCACACCAAATGTATTTGCACCTTACTGACACAATATTTGTTTTAATAGGGCATCTTCAGAGATTCTCATAATAGCAAAGACTTTGTCAAGGAAATAATATTCATTTAATTAATTTTCCATACATAGCACAGTATTAAGATCCATAGTATCATTAATTGGATTGTTGGTGAAGTAGATACCTTTTTATTATGATAAATAAATAAAGATATTGTCAGGTATCAATATTTTAATTAAACTTATGATCATTTCGATCGCGTAGCGATCATCCTCAGAGCTTGCAGCTTCTGGGCCGAAAACAAAGTTCTGCCCAGAAGCTCTGAGGATGATCGCTACGCGATCGAAATGATCATAAGTTTAATTAAAATATTGATACCTGACAATATCTTTATTTATTTATCGTTATTTATCCATAGTATCTTTTGTGCTTAAAGGAGATTGTAAACTCCAATCTTTAACTGATATTATCCATCTGCCAATGACCTTCCACTCCACTCCCCCTACAATGCTGTCAACACAGCTTTCAATCTCATTCATGACCTGACAAATTGATACTGGGGTGATTATATTATTTTGATCTGGACATATTGCTGCTTGTGAACAACCACTACATAACCAAGAACATTAATCTCATTAAAAAGAAGTGGCAAGACTTGTTGCGTAGAACAAATTAGTATTAACTTATTTATTGTTTACTACGTTTAGCACAAATCTTTTAAGATTAGCTCTGCAATGCCAATTTAAGCAATGCTTCCAAAAATCAATCCTTTCATTATACTTATCAAGCAATGCAATCTGAATAATTGCATTATACTATTTAGTTCTTAACATAACATGCATTTTTTTGCTCCCAAGGATGAAAATTATACCATTTAAAGGCTTCTTTCATTCTCACTTTATTTCATTAAATCTCCATTTAATTAATGATTTGTTATGTTACATCATTTCCAGAATGAAATTTCTCAGACCTTTTCCAATTTTCCAAAGGATTAAAAAAAAAGTTCACTGATAAGATACGTAGAACATAATGATGAACTATTTTTTAAGGAATATCTAGTTTGATAACATTTCAAAATTTTCCCTGACTTTTAATGTTTCTTTTACAAATTCCCAGATTTTTACCATTTTCCAGAAACTTGTCACCTTGCATTAAGCATATTTAATTGGAGTGGTAAAATATAAATGTTAATGGAAACATTTCCAGAGCAATGCGTAAGAAGATAAATTTTTGTGTGATTTGTGAAATTCCCTAAAAGTATTTTAAAATTGGGTTTTGAAAGATGTTAGTTTTCAGTGCAAAGACTACTTCCACCACAAACAAAGGGTACTTAAAATGGATTTAGGATTTCCAAAAGACCCGTTAAAAACTGTTTCTCACTGTTTCAAACTACAAAGTGGAACTATTATTTCAGGCGTGTGTGTTTTTTTTGTTAGTTTTTTTAAAGGATTTTTTGTGAGCTGTGACTATATATACTACATAACATGAATTATAACGAATCGTGAATTATTAACTACATCTGTAAGAAACAAAATTGTTATGTTTTGTTTTTGTTTATTAACTCACAGCAGGGATTGAAAAAGAGGTTGAGATGGAATTGAAAAAGAAATTATAAGTCTTCGTTTTTCTTTCATTGTCTTTAATGCATTACTAATTTGGCACTTTTCATTTCTTGGTTTTGTAATAGTTTTAAAATAACAATTATTATATCTTGTAAGGTTTTAACATATCTTGCAACAACTAGGATTCAGCAACAAAAATAAAGATTATATTAAATTCATTACAGAATTTATATCCCTTCACTTTTATAGTAATTTATGTTTTATATGTTCATTTGTGTGTGTGTGTGTATAGGAAAAGAGACGGAAAGACAGAGAGTGAGAGGGAAGTCTAAGTATCAAAGGTTGAACTTAATGGTCTTATACCACATTTTTTGTTCAAATTAAGAATAATACACAAACATATTCATGATATGGCTTACTACATTTTTGTAAGTATTGGGATGCTAATGTAACAAACTAATGCTCCTCTCCTATGAAAACTTTGTTCGTAACTTAAAAGGTATGGTTTGGTTGAAAACAATACTGAATGTAATATTTATTGAATTTTCATCACTTTTAAGCATGATATTCCATTAAAGTAGATGAATTCTTGCCTAATCTTGGGGATCTCTCCCCCCCCTCCCAATCTCAAAACACACTCCCAACCCTCTTAGGATGCCTACGCTCACATATAATATTAATGTTATCATTAATAAAAACTGATAGATGTCTCTGAATGCTTAAATGCTGAAATTTGTATCAGTGTTTAATGCATTCATCCTGAGAGCATTTTCTTTGAGATTTCAAAGTACCTAATACTACTTCCACTTATGCCTTGGTTGAATATATTAAGGAATCTCTGTTCTTCTTCATCCTTACTACATACTTTGACTGTAAATTTCAATGATTCTGTAATAGAATAATGGATTTTAATTCATGGACATATTGTAGAATTATTATAAAAGTGTACACACATGTTGACAAAAAAATTCTGTAATACATCTACACAAGGGTTCAGAAGGGTTTTCTTATGCAGGATAAATTTTGATGATTCATTCTTTAGAAACTCACGACAGAAAATTTTTTGAATGTTAGAAGTGTTTTACTTACTGTACAAGTTCTTTCTTTCCTTTTCTTTCTTCGTTGTTCTTTTGTTTACACAGTAACATAAGAATCATGAACTCGCACATCTTCTGTTGGATTTAGGATTAATACTAGTAACTTTTAATAATGAATGCAGTTGAGAAGACAATTGCTTTACATGAAAAATAACATTTTTATAAATGAATGTTTTTGTTAAAACAAAAGTACCAAAAAAGATGATAACTCCTTATTCCTCCACATATTTTTCTTTTTTTTTGACCTAATATCTTCCATAAAATGCTTTGGTACACAAAAATTCTTGTGAGAGTAAAACACGCAGAAGTTGCTCCTTTTGTACTTGCGAAGAACAACAATAGAGAGGAGAGAAAAAAGAGAAAGATAATAAGAAAATTTAACTGTCAAAACCAAACGAACATAGAACAAACAAACAAAATGAAGAAATTACACAGGATTGGAAAGCTTCAATAAGTTTTACTGGACTTCTTATAATTGAGAAAACGAAATGCTTTTCAATCTAATCTAAAATAGTAGATATCATGAAAAACAAATACATAATTGTATGTAGAGATATGTCAACAATACACAAGTGTCTGTAATATTCATCAGCCAATTGTTAATCTCATTGCTGCATATCCTCTATGACTACTCAAAGCAATGCATTTTGTAAGGTGATTACAGACAACTGTTGCATAAAAATGTGCATTAGTTTATAATTCTGAGTTTCGATGGGCTTAATTGTTGTAAATTTTTGATTTCAAAAATTTAGTTTGTAGTATATATAGATGAAAATATTAATATTTTCACTAACCGTAAAGAGTACTGACACTTTGTAAAGGAAAGTCTAATCACAAAACACTGATGCAGTGATCTGTACATTATTAATTGACAAATTTGTAGAACCACTTACTTGGCCTCTGTAACAGACAGAATGTGGGTTACATGATGCTGACGACTGGTGTGGTGCCCACATTTGATGATAAGTACCCACAGGAGGTCCTTGTTCACCAGTCTTTTGAAGGGCAAATTCACTGTAACTGTTCTGATGTCGTTGCAGAGGATGTGACGATTGTAACAGCTGGTTCAGTGTAGGGGTTGGGCCTGTCTGCTGTGAAATACTTTGTCCAGAAAACAATTTTGGTTGTATGTTAGCAACACCACTACCAGGGGGGCCACTAGATGCACCACTCATTGGTCTTGATGGCATCACTGGAGAATTTGGTACAGGTTTTGAACTATGTAAACTGTGCCTATTCATAGGTCTCAAATGACTGAATGGATTTTGTGGTAAGCCACTACTTTCTGCGTTACTTTGCATATGAGCACCAGGTCCTCTATGATCTGGGTGATAACTGCCTCGACCAGACAAGCCAATGTTATACATTTGCATGTTCTGACCACTGTCTGACACTTTGGTACAATGCTGATCACTGGATGAACTTTGTTCAGAATTATGTTTAACTGACTTGCCATCACGATTTTTCTTACTGTTTTCCAGATTGGAATTGCCTGAATTTTGCTCATCGTTCGCACTGTTTTGAACAGATACGACGGTGCTAGTGTCCGATCGGTATTGACTCATATCCGCGTCTATATTATTTTGTCCCGATATTTTAGATTTCGAATGCGACTTATTATCGCAAAAAATTATTCCACGCACATTTTCACGACCGTTATGAAATACAATGTCCTGCGGCTGGTCTTCATGGCTCTTTTCATACTTCGAATCACTTTGTTGCGCTTCCACTCGTGTTGCAGCCATGTTATACAAATTCACTTTTTTACAGACACACCGCTGTTGCGCGTATATCTGTCATTTTTCTGCGCAAGTAAATGCACACGAGAATGCCTTCGCAGCATCATAGTTATATCATTTAAGTTCAATACAATAATTTACAAGTCCCTCGGGAAGGAACGGAAATAAAAACTAAGAACTCGCACGGGAAATATCACTGAGAAATTGAGTAAGGTTACAGTGAAAATTTGACATATTCATCCGCAATTGAATGAAATTTTCACATTCACTCTAAATCCACGTGCACCCTATTGTCAATATCTCACATAGACAAGATAGAGCATATCGACCCCGGCTACTAAGGTCGCCAACTATACATCTGGATTCGGACAACAGTAAAGAAATGGCCATGGCTTCTTGAGAGTTACGACAATACTGGATCGTCAATAACATATTCTTGTCCTCAGATTAATCTTCTTCAAAACTTCTGAAGTAATATGCACTACCACACTAGTTACAACAAGAAAGATAAGCTATCCATAGACCAAAAACACATCAATTACGTATACGAGTGAATCTTGCACATCATTACCACGGTCACAAGTTAATACACAAAAACTGCAGTTTTCTTTACGAACTATACGGTCACTAAGTAATCATTCTACCCCGTTTTAACATAAAAATACAGTTTTTCTACACAAGCAGCCGGTATGATGTATGTATGTAAAAGATAACAGTTGTAGGTTATATCGCATACTGACAGGTAGATCAGAATCGTTCTCTATAGACCCGTTCTTTCAATATGAATTGGATATCAAGACGGAGTTCCCAAAACATGTTTGGATGTGCGGATGCGCGCTAGTAAAAATTCAAGAATTAAGGATAAGCATTTTTCTCCGTTTTCTCGTGCATCTTTAAGAGATTTACAGAAGAAAAGTAAAGTGCCAATACGATAGTAGTAATATTATTATATTAAATAAACGTTACAATTACTACGAGGGAATGTGTGCTGTTGATCAACCTTATTTTAATGTTTAAAAATTCAATAGTTTTAATGAAACTACTGCAATTGAATTAAATCAGTTCCGCTTTAACTTATAAAAATGTTCATGAGAGGGGGAAAATGCTTTGCGTGAAGTAGGACTAGAACCGAGTCATAAAATTAAGCACTAATTGATTTAGTTAACAATACACCTGAACGGCGCCTATAATATATTATTGATGTTCACTTGGTTCTAAAATCTTACAATAATTTCACAAAATATCGCGGGATTTTTTTAGATTTTGAAAAAAAACACATTAAATTTTTTTTAAACAATAGGCGCAAACCATCAAAAATGACGGAATGAAATCAATCCCTCATATTAACAATTTATTACAATAAATGGTAGAACAAAACTTAAAATTCTTTAGTACTAAATTTAAGGGTACTTCCATTTCAAAATTTGCTTTAGCAATAAGAGGTTTTCAAACCGTTGCCTGTGGTTCTCTAGGGGACCGCGAAGCGATCTTATGGAGACCCTGAAGGGGGCTCCGGGTAAAATTTTAGGCTACTTACTATAATTACCAACAGTTGCCATGTATTGTAAAGGAAACGCATTTAGTTTCTCTGTTATTTCTTATTGTTCCTATGTTATTAAGGCAAGTTCTCGGAATCCAACATCGTGTGTGTCCAATATTTAGTCCATTGAGATCCAAGAAATGCATGTACATGCATGCAGTCCGAGCAATCATCTAAACACAGCTAAAACAGCCCGATCTTAACCTTCAGAATTATTCTTCCCTGTAGGTCATTTTTTTTATTACATCCCGTTGTGATTTCTTATTTTTACAAATTAATTTTGTACTATGACGTATGTTATTCTTAATAAAATGTATTTTGGTATATTTACTAATTAATAGCTGAGAGTGCCTTTACATTTTAGCCTCTGATCACCACCAAGCTCTCTCATGATCACAAACGTTGTACATTCCTTGCGCAAAACGCGTCCAGGGATATTTAATCTTTCTACCTCCGCAGATCTCGAGTTCCGAAGCGTGCGATTTCCCGCGCGTGCGCGCGGCGCTTTCTGCACGTAAGTGCAAGAGCGATTGCTTCCACTTCTTACCCCACTCACAAAAACTGTGAAACCAAATTGCGCACCTCGAAAACTGCCGAATTGTACCGTCAGACGTCTTTCCAACAACAATACGTTTATACTCTTTCTACATTTTACAGCATCCTGGTCGGATTTACTTCACACATACCGCAACAAACATAATAGAACCGTTCAGGCACGTTTGTAACCAACCACTCCTTAATGATAGGTATCTTCCCAGAAATCCTCAAAAAAACTGAAGTTAAGCCACTATGCAAAAAAGGCAACACTCACGATCTCATGAATTACAGACCAATATTGATCATTTAATTATAAATGCATGTTAATTATAAGTGCAATGATCATGATAATAATACATAATAAGTTATGGTGTGAAACAAAGATCAATCGTAGGCCCTATACTATTTCTCTCATACATCAATGACATTCTCTGACCCTACAAAAGAGCAAAATGGTCCTCTTTTCAGATGACACAAACATTATTATTGTAACAACCAACGCGCGCTGCGTAGGGAAACGCGCGCGGTTAGCGGCCCGGTTCTAGCTCAGTCGGTACCTTACTCCTTACATCATATGATTCAGTGATGGATAGGCATGTAAGGCGAAATGATGCATGGGCATTCAAAAACAAAAGCAATTTGGTTACTGGTGAAATTAGGACAATGTTTATTCCGGTGAGACTAGGGCTGTACCAGGGAAGTGTACATTCGATGAAAAGAAAAGGTGAGAAATAATATAAAGATTAGAATTAAGAAGACTTAACAACTAAAGAAGATGGTTACAGAAGAATTATTCGTATAGCTACATTTACAAATTTGTCCTGAGGACCTTTACTGTGCCTCACGCGCGGCCACCGGCCTTAACATAGTCTCTAAGGGCTTTATTGGACCCTGATGTACGTGTGCCTGGAAAACCCTCCGTGACAAAATGTGCTCAGCAAGGCCCTGCGGCGCGAGGCAGCTGGCTGGCGGCCGGTATGGTCTTCCAGTACGCGAGCCCGCGGGCAACGGCCTTCAACAAATGTTGCGGCTGGGCTGCGGCGTTTGCGGCAGGCTCCGTGACATCAAGCGAAGGGCCGTCTGGAGGCTTGCTCGCGGAGCCGTAATGCCGGGGTGTTAGTGACCCTGATAACAAGTTGCGGAGCACCATGAGATTGTCTCTACGAATTGTCTCGCGGTTTCCTCTCGAACAAATTTCAGGCGAAGCGAATTTTGGTAGCTGATAAGCAGTGGCAAAAGATTCGCCTATCCCCCGTAAGTGCCTTTGCACTTCCTCTTTAATAAACTTCAAGTGAATGCCGGAGTATTCCTGAGAAGTGCACCCAACCATCTCTTCTCCGGACCGGCTGCCCACCCCAGAAAAGTCTCTCTCTCTAATGTAACTTTAACAAAATGTTCTTGCGGAGGCGCCTCGCCTCGTCTCCGCGTCGACCGGCTCCCACCCCAGAGAAGTCTTTCTCTCCTAATGTAACTTTGTTTTCTCCTACACGCACGAGGATAACTCTTCCCCCACCCTTTCTCCTCATATGTTCATGCTCCAAAAAGATCGCTTCCGCTATTGGCTAAAGGTGATGGCGTTGTACACTAAATTTGGCCAATAGGGCTCCGGCGGAGGATAGAATTTTTCCGTTCTCATGTTCGAAAGTAGGTCATGTCTCTGAGGGTGCTTCCCAGCTACTGAATTATTGCTTCGGGATTCCCCGATGACGATGACAGGCGTTTCGGAAGTATTCCAGCTGTGGGCTCCCGCTGGGCGCTTTACAGTTTGAAGCAAACTTAGATATGCTACGAACAGTGTACTTTACAAATGTTCACTCGCACCTAAAATACGGAATGATATTCTGGTGAAATTATTCGCTCGAATGTATTCTCACTTTCATCATCCAAAAATAATATCGAAAACAATGACAAACACAAACACGAGTCCTGCAAACCACTGTTAAAAAAATTACAAATCCGACCACTTACATGCTTGTACATATTTGAAATATTAATATTCACAAAGAAGACGGAACATGGAAAATAAAGATTCTTTACTCTAAACACAGAAGTTCATAACTATGATACTAGACAAAAAAGAATTCGGCTTGTCCCATACAGTGAAACTTCACTCTTTCAAAAACGCATACTCACATAAGGCATTACACTATATAACAAACTCCCTAGTAAATTCAAAAGATTATTTCCAGTACACACATTCAAAAGTAAACGAAAAGCTTTCATATTAAACTATACATTCTACAGTACAAAATAATATATACTCGTACATCATAAAAATGTATTTACATCAATATAAACTCGTACTAATAATTTGTGCATATGATGTTGCATGTTTTAAAAAACCCAAACTGATTGTTGGATATAAAGGATGGACCCAGCTCAGGCATTAATCTCCTACGAAGACAATTTTATTTCTATTTTTTCATACTTTCTTTTTTATTATTGTTTTTCAATTTTAGTCTTCTTACACTACCATTAACGAAATTATTTTTGTATGTATTGTATTTAGTACGAAAATTGAATTGAATTTTAATTTCTATATTCAATTTAATTTATAGATATACCCGTATTGTACATTATATGATTATGTACATATCCTGATTTGTCATACAAAGCTTATGCTGTATTTATGTGACAAATATAATAATAACAATAATAATAATAATAATAATAATAATAATAATAATAATAATAATAATAATAATAATGATGATGATGATGATGATGATGATGATGATGATGATGATTAGGCCATTACTGACCACGCTACACGATTAACGTGTGTAATTCTTCCAGGATCAGCTTTTCAGCAGTATCCTTGGATTACCACGAGGTTGTTACGCCTTGTAGTGTGAATTATGAGATGATAGGATGATGATGACCTAAATACTTAAAACTATAAACCTTTTTATTATTTTACCATTGTAGT